GCGGAAACGCCACGTGGCAGACATCCCGCGGTTGACCAGACGCACGCGACGCGTACTACCTCCACGGTTGCGGAAATGGCGGCGGATCCGGCGGCGGGAAATGCGGGGAACGCGCAGGCGGAGCTTCCCGTGATCTTCGTGTCGCACGGATCGCCAATGGCGGCGGTGGAAGAAGACGAAACGTCCGCCTTCTGGCAAAGGCTTGGGAAACAGGTGAGACAAGTCAACTCCTTGGGCGACACGACAGGTGATTCGGGGTTAGCCGGATGAAGATGGGTGGTGTTGCTGTGTCACGGACTCACGGGTGGCGGGTGTCGGCGGTGGAAGAAGACGAGACGTCCACCTTCTGGCAGCGACGGGGGAAACAGGCAAGGCGATGACTCGGGTTACAGGTGAAGCTCTCTTGTGAGTTGACCCAGGAGTCAAGTCGAAAACAGGTAAACAGGTGTGTAAGCGTGTTGCATTGCACGAGTCTCTGTCGTTATAACCATGCGTCCTGCCACTCTCCATCTAGTCTGTCTCGTTCATCTCCTTCCCACCCCACCCCACCCCACTCAACCCAACCCAACCCCGCTCCGCCATCCGTCTTCCATTTACCAAACCTCAGGTCGCCGCCTTTCCAGGCCTCAAGGCCATCCTCGTTATAAGCGCTCACTGGGAAGCAGATGGGCCAGCAATCCGAGTGAACAGTGCCACCCAGCCCGCCACTATTCACGACTTTTACGGGTTTCCCAAGGAGCTGTACGAGCTACAGTATCCTGTGAAGGGATCACCACAGCTCGCACTGCGTGTAGTTGAGGTAAGATAAGATCTTGCTTTTTTAGGCACCTCAGGTAAGGGGTTTTCCAAGGAGCTGTACGAACCACGGTGCCCTGTCAAGGGATCACCGCAGCTGGCCCAACGTGTTGTGGAGGTGGGAAGTGAGAACCAGTGATCATCCGTCTGTGGGTTTCCCAAGGAGCTGTACGCGCTACAGTATCCAGTCAAGGGATCACCGCAGCTGGCACAGCGTGTAGTTGAGGTAAGATAAGATCTTGCTTTTTTAGGCACCTCAGGTAAGGGGTTTCCCAAGGAGCTGTACGTGTTACAGTATCCTGTAAAGGGATCGACACAGCTGGCACAGCGTGTAGTTGAGGTAAGAAGTGAGAAGCAGTGAGTAGCTAGCCAGCCAAGTTTCATGACTTTTACGGGTTTCCCAAGGAGCTGTACCAACTACAGTACCCTGTGAAGGGATCGCCGGAGCTGGCTCAACGTGTTGTGGAGGTGAGAAGTGAGAAGCAATGAGTATCCCTCTGTGGGTTTCCGCGCGACCTGTACGCGTTACAGTATCCTGTGAAGGGATCACCGGAGCTGGCTGAACGTGTTGTGGAGGTGAGAAGTTAGATCCAGCCAGTGAGTGGCCAGCCACTACTCACGACTTCTACGGGTTTCCCAAGGAGCTGTACGCGCTACAGTATCCAGTCAAGGGATCACCGCAGCTGGCTCAGCGTGTGGTGCAGGTAAGAGAGCAGAACCAGTGACTTGTACGCGCTACAGTATCCTGGCTCAGCATGTTGTTGAGGTGAGAATCGATTCTCACACGCATCTGGGAGTGGGTTCCCCTGCAATTCCCCGAGAGCTGTACGAATCACAGTATCCAGCCAAGGTATCTCCGGAGGTGGCATGCTGTGTTGTTGAGGTGAGATAGTGATTCAGTATTGAAGCCAGTCATATAATGGGTTTTCCCGCGAGCTGTACGAACTAACTTACCCTGTCAAGGGATCAAAGGAAACAAAAGGAAACGGATCCTTTCCTCCACTTGCAAATTAATTCATTCAACTGCGCTATGTTCTTTCCTATTCTGCCCTCCCTGCTTGTTTCCCATCCCTTCCCCTACCTTTCCCATCCTGGCCTGTTGACATCAGCTCCTCTCGGCTAATCACATCGAAGCTGAGCTGGACCCGTCCCACGGCCTCGACCACGGCGCGTGGGTCCCGCTGCGCTGGATGTTGCCACGTGGCAGCCTCCCGGTGGTCCAGATGTCGCTATACGGCGGCAGCAGCCGGCAAGTGGGGAACGCTATAACGAGTATGCAGCGGCACGTGGAGCTGGGTCAGGCTTTAAGGCCACTTAGGAAGGAGGGAGTACTGGTGCTGGCGAGTGGTGGTGCTGTGCATAACTTGAGAGAAGTCGGATCGTATTTTGGGACTAAGAAGGTACGTGTTGATTGAGTGAGTGCTTAATGAGTATTGATGTCTTTCCTTAAGTGCCTTTAAGCAACAAGCACAACAGCATGTAGCTGTCACTGTTTACCCTCCCACCTTCTCATCACTCGAAACACTTTATTCCTTCACCCCTCTTAGCTTTTGTAGCCACCTCAAAACTCTTGTTTCCATTTGTTATTCATGCTGTTGCAATGCCAGGTGGCATCCTACGTGGCACCCTTTGATTCGTTGCTAGACGAGGCAATCACCAAGGTCAAGTCAGATCAAGACATGCTCACCAGCCTCTTGGGTGCGTCTCCCGTCTGCTGATTTTTTCGGCGTTTTGAAGTGTGCCTGCACTTTCCTTTTTTGAGTCGACTCGAAAATTAAGTCAGACAAAGGCATGCTCACCCGCCTCCTGGGTGCATCCCCCCTCCGCTCTTTTGTTGGCATCTTAAAGTGTGCCTGCTTTTTAGGTGCCAAAAAGGTGACTCTCCCGCCTCCTGGGTGCGTCTCCCCTCCACTCTTTTGTAGGCGTCTTGAAGCGTGGCTGCTCTTTTCTCTTTCAGGCACCTCAAAAGCAAAATTTACCTGTCTCTTGGGTGTGTATTCCCACAGCCCTCTCCTTCCCTCCCTCCCTGCAGCGCCCACCTCCCACCCTCTCCTGAGTCCTGCCCAAGGGACATCTCACCATCGCACCCCTTCTCCCTCTCTGCATCGTGTCAGGCCTAATTAAAGACACCCGCCCTTCCCCTGCGACCCTCCCTCTCTCCCTCCTGCCCTTCAGCTCTCTCCTCCCACCCGCTCCTGCCCAAGGCCCATCCCACCATCAAGCACCTCCTCCCTCTCTACGCATCATTCAACACATTTGTTTTCTGATCCATCTCCCCTCTTCCTTCCCCCCTGCAGCGCTCTCCTCCCACCCTCTCCTGCCCAAGGCCCATCCCACCATCGAGCACCTCCTCCCTCTTTACGTGGCTGCTGGTGCTGCCACTGGTGCTTCTAACGTCGATTCCGCTCCATACTCCACCACTGAAGCAGCCTCTAACGAGGATGGAAACGCCTTTGGAGGAGGAGGATCTCAGCCGTCCGTTGCCCCTCAGAAGCTCTTCCAGATGAACATCTGGACGCTCAGCAACGCTGCTTACAGCTTTGGGAATATGACCAAGCCGAAGCTGGCAGCTTCGGCGTAGGCTGCTCCTCTGCATGTAAAAGAATCGCTTTAGTTTTTTTCTGTATTGATGTTATGCTGTGTTTTAGTCTATGTTTTCCTATTCTGGCCTCATGCACTTCAAACACACAAAAAATAATTCTAGATCAAATGTTTCAACTATCGTCCAGACAAGCACGAATGAAGCCATTCATAATCCCTTGACAAATTGCTGTAGTGAGAAAGTAGATACGATAACACTACAGCTACAGCTGCCTATGTTGAGTGGGCCCGAATGTGCTTCTCACTGCAAGGAGAGCTGGAATACCACTGATCCATACTTGTTATTTAAGGCGCCTCAAAAGGTCTGTTCTTGTCTGTGAACGCTGGGAGCTGCTAGTGAAGAAGCCCTTTCAATTTGACAACGCATAGGGCTGGTTATATTGCCTAACCTTCAATAATGTGTCAGCCGGTCACCCTACTACGATAAGCAATAAAACCACAAATACAGCTGCCAATCCTGTGTTTATCCGAGTGAATGCTTGAAGCTGAAAGCTGCTCCTGGTCAGACTTATCGAGTTGAAATCACCCTAATAAAAGGACTGGAAATACGACCACCAATACTGCTGCCAGTATCCTGTAATGACTCGAGTGAATGCTGGAAGCTGCTGAACAGAAAAGACGGAACAAAAAGAAAAATAAAAAGAAAAAAAAGGCAGCGGAGAGGGTGGGGTGAGAGCATGTGCTGGATCAGACAAGCATCTTATTTTGACTTGCCACGTGAAATAAGGGTGTTATTGAGACGTCTGGAAAACACGAAGGGATGGAAAAAGGCAGCAGAGGGGGTGGGGTGAGAGCATGTGGTGGATCAGACAAGCATCATATTTAGACTTAACTCACAAAAACAGCCTCTCTCCCCTTCGTTTCTCACTCCCTCTCCTCACCTCCTCCTCTGTCTCTCCTCACCTCCCCTCCCTTAGCACAGCACACAGAAGGCTGGGTGGTACTTGCAGCCTTCTCCTCTCTCTTAACTTCATCTCACTCCCTCTCCTCACCTCCTTTCCCACTCTCTCTCATATCACGCCCTCACTCACTCCTTTCACTCGCAGCACGCGGCACAGAAGGTCAAGCAGCAACTGCAGCCTCTAAACACGGCAGCAATACACGTGCCTCTCCTCTCTGCACCACCTCACTGCCTGTCTGCACCTTCCTTCTCACTCCCTCTCCTCGCTTCCTTTCACTTGCAGCACGGGGCATAGAAGGCTGGGCAGCAACTGCAGCCTCAACACATGGCAGCAATACATGTGCCTCTCCTCTCTGCACCACCTCACTGCCTGTCTGCACCTTCTCACTTTCTCTCCTCACCTCCTTTTCCACAGCACGGAGCACAGAAGGTCGGGCAGGTCTTGCAGCCTCAACGTATGGCAGCAATACACGTGCCTCTCCTCTCTGCACCACCTCACTGCCTGTCTGCACCTTCCTTCCCACCCCAAACCTCACCTTCCTTCCCACCCCAAACCTCACCTTCCTTCCCACCCCAAACCTCACCTTCCTTCCCAACTCAATATTCACTTTCCTTCCCACCCAAACCTCACCTTCCTTCCCAGCCCAATATTCACTTTCCTTCTCACCCCAAACCTCACCTTCCTTCCCACCCCAAACCTCACCTCCTTTCCCATAGCACGGAGCACAAAATGTCGGGCAGCTCTTGCAAAACGCGGTGGTGCTTTTCTGGGGCACCACGCAGTTTCCATCGGTCGGGCAGGACAGGAAATTTCTGTCATAGTCCCTGGAGCAGCAGGAAAGGAGGGAATTGGGCAGGGCAGGAAGGAAGGGCAAACAAAATGGTATAGAGTTCTGGTGTAAGGGGGGGAGCAGGGAAGCACTCGCAGCAGAGTGCACACACGAATAGGGAAGAGAGAAGAGAGCAGCGAGAAGGGAGCAGAAAGCAGAGAGCAGAGAGCAGGGAGAAGAGAGCAGGGAGAAGAGAGCAGAGTGCAGAGAGGACGGAGTGAGGCAGGCAGAGCAGAGGCAGCAAGGTGTGTGTGACAGAATTGGAGCAAGAAACAAAAGTGACAGGAATAGAGAGAAGAGTCACAAGTGGGTGCACTCACAGCAGAGTGAGTTTGGTGAGAGAACCGAGTGTTGCAGGGAGGAGAGTGTGATGATGGTGAGGGAAGCACCGTACAGAGCAGAGGGCAGAGAGCAGAGGGCAGAGGGCAGGGAGCAGAGCACAGAGGGCAGAGAGCAGAGAGCAGAGGGCAGAGAGCAGAGAGCAGAGCGCAGAGGGCAGAGAGCAGAGAGCAGAGAGCAGAGAGCAGAGCGCAGAGGGCAGAGAGCAGAGAGAAGAGCGCAGAGGGCAGAGAGCAGAGAGCAGAGCGCAAAGCGCAGAGGGCAGAGAGCAGAGAGCACTCACAGCAGGGTGAGCTTGGTGAGAGAGCCGAGAGTGGCAGGCAGGATCCCAGCCATCCGGTTGCCTGACATGTTGCTGGGGGATGGGAAACAGAGGGGTGCAGGGTGGTTGAGGTGGGTGAGAATGGGTGTGATGATGTTACCGAGGGTGGTGGGCAGGATCCCTGCCATCAGGTTACCACACCTCGTGTCACCACCACCACACCTCGTGTCACTCAGCTTACAAGGTTACCCATGGTGGATGGGACTGGCCCCTGCAGGTGATTGCTTGGAGCTCATCCCCCTATCGCCCACCCACCACTCGGCGCCCTACTCATCATGCCCTATGCTATCACACCACACCCCATGTTACCACACCACACCCCTTATCACCGCACATCACCACTCACAGGGCAGTCAGCTTTACAAGTTTGCCCATGGTGGACGGGACTGGCCCCTGCAGGCGGTTGACGCCCATTCCCCCCACCCACTATAACCCATGCTACCACATCGCACACCCTATTATCGCATCACACCCTGCACCACCACTCACAGTGCCGTCAGCTTCACAAGGTTGCCCATGGTGGAGGGCACTGGCCCCTGTAGGCGGTTGACGCCCATTCCCCTGGCATGGATTGGGTTGGGTGGGGTAAAGAAAGGGAGGGGAGGTAGAGAGGTGAAGGGCGGTATGGGACGGTGGGGACGTGCCCAGAGGAGAGAGGGAAGGGGGGATGTGGGATGATGGAAGGGAGGGATGTATGGTGTAAGCGGGGCAGCTGGTGGGTGGGACTGGTCCTTGCAGGCGGTTGACTCCCATTCCCCTGGCGCATGGGATAGGGGCGACAGTTGTGACGGGGAAGAGGGAGATAGGGGAGAGAGGGAAGGGGGCGGTGTGGGATGGTGGTGGATGGAAAGGATGGTGCAGATTCTTGGAAACTCATTTTCATCGCATCATAGGGAAAAGGGGGCGCGAGGTGAGAAGTGAGAGGATGAGAAAGGTTGAGATAGGTGAAAAAGGACTTTGCTTGCTGCTCGCAGACAGGCATAAGGTGCTGACTCACAGGTAGTCAAGGCTGACTCACAGGTACTCAAGGCTGACTCACAGACACTAGATGCTGACTCACAGGTACTCAAGGCTGACTCACAGACACTAGATACTGACTCACAGGTACTCAAGGCTGACTCACAGACACTAGATGCTGACTCACAGGTACTCAAGGCTGACTCACAGACACTAGATGCTGACTCACAGGTACTCAAGGCTGACTCACAGACACTAGATGCTGACTCACAGGTACTCAAGGCTGACTAGGTTCATGATGGAGTCGGGAATGAAGCCGTTGAAGCGATTCTCTGAGAGCAGCCTGCAGAGGAGAGTAGGAATGAGCGGAGGGAGGAATTAGGGGGTAATGGGTGGAATCAGGAGGGGCCAGAGGGTTCATAGTGGAGTCGGGAATGAATCCGTTGAAGCGATTCTCTGATAGCAGCCTGCAAGGGGAAGAGAAGGAAGAGGGGAGTAAGGGAAGAAGGAAGGGTGGGAACCTCAAAATCAAGGAGCGGGGGGGCGAGGCCAGAGCGGTCATAATGGAGTCGGGTATGAATCCGTTGAAGCGATTCTCTGACAGCAACCTGCAGGGGGAAGAAAAAGGAAGAGAGGAGTAAGGGAAGAAGGAAGGATGGGAAGGGAGTCAGCGAGTGGATGGGCGAGGGACAGAGCGCTCATAATGGCGTCCGGCAGAAAGAGGAGAGGGAGGAAACAGAATGAGGCATGGGGCGTGAGGTTTGAGCAGCATCGGGCAATCCTAAAGTTGATCCCACAGTTGCTGCGCGACAACAGTGGGATGCTGCAGATTGTTTTTGAGAATTCTCAAAAACAATCTGCAGCACCAGGGAGGAGGACACTCACTAGGAAATTACCCTGCTGCACCCCCCATCACCAACTCACAGATGCTCGAGAGCGGAGAGGGAGGAGATGGAGCGAGGGTTGAGATGTAAGATCTGAGTAGCATCTGGCAATCCTGAAGTGTGGGTACTCACTAGTCAATCACACTGCCGCACCCCCAAGCACCAACTCACAGTCACAGATGCTCGAGATCAGAGAGGTGGAAGATGGAGCGAGGGATGGGGTGTGAGGCTTGAGCAGCATGGGGCAATCCTGAAGTAAGGCGGCTCATGGGGAAATCACACTATCACAACCACATCACCAACTCACAGATGCTCGAGAGCAGAGAGGGAGGAGATGGAGCGAGGGATGCTGCCTGCGAGCTTGTTGCCTCGGAGGTCGCTGGTGGGGTGAGATAGTTGTTTGGGAGGTGGGGGTTCCATTGGAGAAACATGGGAGAGAGTGAGATGAGAGGGAGGAGATGGAGCGAGGGATGCTGCCTGCGAGCTTGTTGCCTCGGAGGTCGCTGGTGGGGTGAGATAGTTGTTTGGGAGGTGGGGGTTCCATTGGAGAAACATGGGAGAGAGTGAGATGAGAGGGAGGAGATGGAGCGAGGGATGCTGCCTGCGAGCTTGTTGCCTCGGAGGTCTCTGTTGGGTGTGGAGAGGCAGAAAGGGGGGAGGACGGGGAGAGAACAGCAGGGACGAAGCATGGAGAAACGGCGATAGCAGGGTCGCGGCAAGGCAGGGCACAGGCAGGCAGGGTCAAGGCTAAGTGTGTGTGACTCACAGTGTCTTTAGGGGAAGAGCCTGGTTGCCCGTGACAGAAAAGGAAGTGCGTGTGATAGTAATGAGGTCAAAGCAAGCAGTCATTCCTGGCTGCGACTCACAGTGTCTTTAGGGGAAGAGCCTGGTTGCCCGTGACAGAAAAGGAAGTGCGTGTGATAGTAACGAGGTCAAAGCAAGCAGTCATTCCTGGCTGCGACTCACAGTGTCTTGTGGGGAAGAGCCTGGTTGCCCGTGACAGAAAAGGAAGTGCGTGTGATAGTAACGAGGTCAAAGCAAGCAGTCATTCCTGGCTGCGACTCACAGTGTCTTGAGGGGAAGAGCCTGGTTGCCCGTTACAGAAAAGGAAGTGCGTGTGATAGTAACGAGGTCAAAGCAAGCAGTCTTTCCTGGCTGCGACTCACAGTGTCTTGAGGGGAAGAGCCTGGTTGCCCGTGACGGGGAAGGTTCCTTGCAGGCTGTTTCCTCCCAGGCCGCTGCAAGGGAGATTGAGCAAGCACGAGAGAGGAGGTTTTAAGTCGAATCGAAACACATCTTGAGTTGTCTCGCAACACATCTTCGGGGCTTTTGGTGAAGAGCCTGGTTGCCCGTGACAGGGAAGGTTCCTTGCAGGCTGTTTCCTCCCAGGCCGCTGCAAGGAAAGGTGGGGAAGCATGAGAGGAAGGGAGAAGAAGAGAACAAAAGAACCCAACGACTCTCCATTTCCCTGTGCTTGGACAAGGGGAGGGAGAACTGGTTGCAGACTCCCTGTGCTTTCTTGAACTACAACTCTTGTGTGTGTCACATGTGATAATCCGCAAAAGTGACAGTCGAATGCGACGGGTCTTCCTTGTGTGGTTGTGAAGGGTAACAAAGGCGGGTGAAGCAGTGGCGCGTTTTGGCATTACTGGAGGGTGGGTGTAGCGTGGTTGTCAGTGGCACTAACAAGCATGACAATAATGTAAAAGGCAGAATATGTAGGTGGTTGTAGGGAAACCGTGAAGCAACTCTAGCAAGTGTGACATTATCGAGAGAGGCATTACAGGTAGGTGAGTGCAGGGAAGCCGTCAAATACGGGAACAGAGCCGTTGAGTTTGTTGCTTGCAAGGTTACTGCAGAGGAGAGGGGGAGAAAAAAGGAGGGTAAGGGCGAGAGAGGAAGGAAGATTGTGAATCAATACAAGCGGAAACCTAAAGATGGGAACAGAGGGTTTGAGCTTGTTGCTTGCAAGGTTGCTGCAGGGGGAGAAGGGTGGGGTAGAGGAGGGTGGGGGGAAGGGAGAGGAGGAGAGGAAGCGAATCACTGATTCAGCTTTAAGTAAATTGTGGAATATGGGAACAGAGCCGTTGAGCTTGTTGCTTGCAAGGTTTCTGCAGAGGAGAGGGAAGCGGAATGGTGACAACTGTGAGTCAAGTTAAGGTTCATTACACATCGGAACAGAGCTGTTGGGGGGGATTTTTGCTGATGGAACTGGGGATGGTGATTCTGAGGTGACTCAGAATCAGTATCATATCAAATATTTGTCAGAACATATATATAGCTTATGCTGTTGTGTAGGCTATAGTGGGGTATCCCATAGGGGGTACAACCCAATTAGGGTTTCCTATATGTACTCACTTCATTCATAGTTCATTCATTCTTGTTCAAATCTTCTCATGGTATCGAGCAGGTTCCCCCTTGGGAACTGTGCTTAGGGCCCACCACATCGATTTTTTTTTTTTTTCCTGCCCGAAGCGCGCTCAGCCCGAGTCGCGCTCCGGGCCCTCACTTCGTCGAGCCGCCCTAGCGGCCCTTCACTGCGGCCCCGCCACTCGTCTCAGCGGCCCCGCCGCCCGTCTTCGCGGCCCCGCCGCCTCTCTCCTAGCGGCCCCGCCGCCCTACCTAGCGGCCCCGCCGCCCTACCTCGCGGCCTCGCCGCCCTATTGCGCGGCCCCGCCGCCCTACCTAGCGGCCCCGCCACCCTTACTCGCGGCCTCGCCGCCCCATTGCGCGGCCCCGCCGCCCTACCTCGCGGCCTCGCCGCCCCATCGCGAGGCCCCGCCGCCCTACCTAGCGGCCCCGCCGCCCTTCCTCGCGGCCCCGCCGCCCCATCGCGCGGCCCCGCCGCCCTATCTAGCGGCCCCGCCGCCCTTCCTCGCGGCCCCGCCGCCCCATCGCGCGGCCCCGCCGCCCTTCCTCGCGGCCCCGCCGCCCCATCAGCGGCCCCGCCGCCCTATCAAGCGGCCCCGCCGCCCTTCTCTGCAGCGGCCCCGCCACTCCTCTGCAGCGCAGCCGAGCCGCCCTGCAGCCGAGCCGCCCGGGAGCCGAGCCGCCCTGCCGCCGAGCCGCCCGGGAGCCGAGCCGCCGAGCCGCCCTGCCGCCGAGCCGCCCTGCCGCCGAGCCGCCCTGCCGCCGAGCCGCCCGGGAGCCGAGCCGCCCAGCAGCCGAGCCGCCGAGCCGCCCAGTCGCCGGGCCGCCCTACTGCCGATCCGCCCGACCTGCCCTGCCTGGTGAGCACAGCACCACTGTTACTGCGTGCCCTTCCCCTACTGCTTGCACTACTACACTGTCGTCGTCATGGCTACCCCTAGTGTCCTCGCTTTTGACGCTGAGGGTCGAGCCATTGACTTTGAGGTCTGGGTCGACGACCTGCAGCTGTTCTTACAGTGCGATAGGGCGGACGGTCTTTCCCTCTTTGACCTCACCTCTGGCGCCTCTCCTGCCCCTGCTGCTGATGCTGACCCCACTGTTCGCTCTCAGTGGGCCACCCGCGATGCTGCTGCACGTCTTGCTGTGCGTCGCCACCTGCCTACCACTGAGCGCGCGCACTTTAGTCAGTACAAGAGTGCTCAGACCTTGTACGACGCTGTAGTTGCGCGCTACTCTTCCCTTGCCACTGCTGCTCTGAGTCGCCTCATGCTACCGTACCTCTTTCCTGACCTTGCTGCCTTTCCCACTGTCGCTGACCTCATTACGCACCTCCGCACTAGTGACACTCGC